AAATGGAAACCTTGGTTTTTTGTTGCAAATTGCTTTCACAATTCCTTACGTATTTGGTAATTTATTTTAGCGGAAAAAATAAATTACAATTTCGACAATAACTTCACTTTACTAGCTTTCTATCTAGTTTTAGCTCAAGATCCATCGAGTCGCAAAATCTTGGCGTGTTACTTTAACCCTGTATCATATTTTCGAGAAGGTGACACAATTACTTAGTGGGGGCAGGTTAAGTGTTAATAGAATGAAACGCCATAGCTTCAACACTTTTTGTGCTACAAATTTCTAGTTAATTTTATTGGAAAGCCAGCTAATTTTTGAGTAGAGAACAATTTTTAGTTTTCGAAATTTCTTTTCCCGGCATTAATGCAGCGCTGAAGAAGCCGCCTGCAGTCCTTTGCCGAAGCACGCATTGAATTCCTGGACAAAGTGTTCCATTCCGTGCTCAAAAAATTTTTTCGGACCTCTACACTTCTATGAGACTTAGAACACACGTTTTTCCCTAACTCTGACCATTTTTCATAATCCGGAGATTCAAATCCAGAAAGTAGAATTACCATTTCCAAGTGGAGGTAAAGTTCAGAATTTTGTTTTTTGCCCACGCTTGGGTCATTTTTTGCACTATAAGCTGATGTTTAGTCCTACTGCAAGGTCCAGTCGACTTCAATGGATTGGATCTCACTTAGTGGATGCACCACGGACTCGAAAACGTATTATAAGAAATTTGATCCCCCCACCTTCCCCCCATTTTCAACAAAATGTAGAGGAATTACCCCAATTAGCTCTCACCTGCCAAAATCATCACAAAACCCGAAAAATGTGGCTTTTTGACCTTTTGTCTGTATTGGGGGATGTCTTTGGTCGATTTTGCGTAGATTATGGCATTTTGTTTGTTAAAAAACTCTTCTGATGTGAAAATCTCATCGGTAAAAAAAATCCTCTTCACTTTTGTGGCGTGTACCGCTTGAGGAGGGCCCTTCATTTCTTTAGTAGGGCTTTGTTTGTGGGTATCATCAAGAGGTGTCAAGTACCACATTTCAAAGCCTTAAGCCTAAGGTTCAGTTTGAGTACTCATTGGACAATCTGCGTCAACAATGTCAGCTGTGAGGCTATTTTCCGTTGGAATTTCCTTGTAGGTTTTCCAAAAAATTTTCTTCGACTGTTCTTAGTCGATCCGGTCCCCATGAACGTTTTTACAGTCCGCTGGATTAAATTAAAGTGCACATTCGATTCCTATCACGCTTCTCAAATTCGCTATTTCTTTTTCCATTTTTTAGTGGAAAATTATTACCACCCGCTTCCTTTCAGTATTTTCCTTGCTAGTATTCTTTGCAAGTTGTTAAAAACTCATGTGAGGTATGTATGTAAACTCGCACGAGGAACTCAATGCGCTTATCAGATTTTCATTATCTCCAGCGGTTTTAAAGTTATTAACACTTAGCCTGCCCCCACTAAGTAAATAATTACGCCAGTCTCTAATAAAAATCCAAACGTTAAACTTGTAATAGGATATGCAATTTGTTGGATTGAATTAATTGGTTGAATTAATTGGATAGATTAATAGTGGAATGGAGTAATCGAGTTGAATTTATTCTCAGGGATGCCGTTCGAACCCTCAAATATTGATCCGTCATTATGCACCCATGTCATCTACCCCTACATGGGCATGACAGAAGACAACTTTAATATCTATAGTCGAAACCCGCCATTGGATTATGGCCCTGGGGAGGTCGAGGTTAGACTACTTTCTTTAACTTTCGCATAGGCTATCATGTATGTAACACATGCATAATCTAGTTAAAAATGGTTACCTGGCAGTGATAGGAAACAAGTAAAAAAAATGTGAATTACTTTTTGAAATTACTTTGTGGTTTTTTTCTGCAGTTTAGCAACCAATAGTACATATACATTTTCCATACTCGAAAAATCGTGGTAACAAGACTTTTGGTTGGAGCAAATGTAAATATTATCTCCTAAATAATGGAAATTTGACTTATGCACGTATTATTTCAATTTTAGTTTTAAGAAATTAGGGTTGCCGGTAAGGTGAGCTCATATCATCTCATCTCTTGACAGGATTTGTTTGAGATAAGATCACATGGCCGTTAAATGAGTTAGAAAATCAACTGACAAGGGAAGGTCCCCGAGTGCTCCCCAAGTTCAGGGAGGCATGTGACTATGTTTTTTTAGAATCTACTAGGACCCCAGATGAAGGATTCATTCATATTTACGTGCAAAAGTCATATTTGGCGCCGTGACGTGGCGCCACATTCGCCAAATTTGAATGTTTTTATTTTCAGAACCGCCATAACTTTTGAATTCCTGGGCGGATTTTCATAATTTTTGACCAAAATCATCACAAAGGGTTCAACTTTCGATTTCCGTGAAGTTTTTCAAAAAATTGAAATTTTCAAATTTGTGCAAAATTTCAGAATTTTCTGAAACACAGGGGTTAGCTGAAAAAAACCTTAAGAATATTTCACAAATTGCGTTTTATTAATTTTGATTTTTTCCTTGAAATATCGACTTTTGTGATCATTTTAAGCCCAAGATTATGAAAATCCTACGGAAACTGCAAAAGTTTCCGTAGAGTTTTGAAATTGGTTGCAAATTCAGATTTTTAAGTTTGGCGCCACCCCACGGTGGCGCCAAAATGTGATTTTTGCACGTAAATATGCATGAATCCTTCATCTAGGGTCCTAGTAGATTTAAAAAAACATAGTGGGTACCCTGAACTCGTAAAGCAGTCGGGGACCTTCCCTTATGAGATAGATAAGATGTTGTGAATGAGATGAGTTTTAATGCGACAAGATCAACTCAATACCAAATATTAGTCATATTGGTAGGTGTTTGGTGCTACAATGTTACCTAGTTTTGTCTGAAAAAATGTGCAGTGGTTATTAAAATAGTGTTCGAATAATGCACAAGTTGTTACTACATTATAAGTTTTTAAGAATTTTAATAAAATATATGTAGCACACAAAGGCGCTAAATAAGTTATCTCAACTCACCTGATCGGTTACACTTTGTTACCTAATATTCTTTCATATTAGTAACAATTTGAATGTCAGCGTTTTTCCCCTAATTTTTTAGCCATACCCCGACGATCCTGAAGTTGACCAAGGCGAATTTGACATGATTCGAAAAACCGCTAACTTAAAGGGGGACAACCCTGCACTCAAAACGATGGCATCCATCGGCGGTCCACTCCAGTCTTCTAGAAGTTTCTCCAACATGGCGAGACATGTCGCGAATAGGACACTTTTTCTCAAAAGTGTCACAAATTTCCCCGACACCTACAATCTGGATGGCATCGACGTATATTAGCAGTATCCAGGAATGAATGACGGCAGGCCGGAGGACATCGAGACTCTCGTGTTTCTTATAAGGGTAAGCTAATAAAATTTCATTACTTATGTATGACCCTGGTGTATGCACTCTTAAAAGTAATGAGGTTATTCATTACTTCCTTAGTACTCTTGGTATCGAAAGGATACGAGATTTTGCAAGGCCTGTAAGATTTGTCATAAAAACTCGCGTTACGAATGTTGCGATTTTTACAAAGCTTTACCCTTCGTTTTTTTCGGAAACTATTTTACGATGCTAGAGATACTAAGGAATAATGAATACCCCTAATGTTTCCCTTTTGAGTGATAAATGCTTGTAGCATTGTAGCTTCCTTGTAAACTTGATACAGTGTAAAGCTTACGCTGGATAGATAAATATGTAGTACACGTGCATTATGTAATAGAGAGGCTGGTAATTGAAGTAACGTACATATGTTCATATTTATACATATTTATCAGGATTTAAGAGCAGCCTTCACAAATTTGACAGCCTTCACGGGTAAAAACTACACACTGACGGCGGGGCTGGGATGCACCGGGGATATAATTGATATTGGATATGATGTCCCCAAACTGGCTGAGTAAGAATGAATAATATTGTTCTTCAATAACGGAATTGCATTGTCACAGCAGACTAAATTGGAAAATAAGATGTAGCAAGCGAAATGTATGTAGCAATAGAAGCAAACAACTAATTCCCCAAAAACTTACATATGTGATCACACACCACACCCCCTAAACATTGCGGGAATGGTCCGATTGTCCCCCAAAATTGACAGGACCGTCGCCACAGGGTTGTGGGTATTATTGCGTACACCGGTCTCGATTACCTCGAATTGTTTTCCAGTTATCGTGCTGAAAGACAGATCGATGGAGAAAATCTTTGCGTAATAATTGGGCTTGACCCTATACCAATTGGTTGCCGAAACTTTCGGGGAAAGAAACACGTCTAGCTCGTAAAATACACTCTTACAATGGAAGGTCCCCGACTGCTACACGTGACCAGGGTACCCACTATATTTTTTAGAATCTACTAGGACCCTAGATGAAGGATTCATTCATATTTCCGTGTAAAAGTCATATTTGGCGTCGTACTGTGGCGCCAAATTAGCCAAATTTGAATGTTTTTGTTTTTGAAACCGCCATAACTTTTGAAATCCTGGATGGATTTTTTAAATTTTTGGCAAAAATTATGACAAGGAGTTCAACTTTCGTATTCGATGAAATTTTTTCCAAAATTATCAAATTATTATTATTAAATGATCGTTTTTCAAACCCTAAGCCAAGTTCTGGTTCTAAAATTACTTACGTACACGAACCCGATCTAAACCCGAAAGACGAAGAAATATCCCGTGAGAACAGCTATTATGGATAAGTGCTTGAACATATTTATGCTTAATACTCCCCAATCCATAACAATTTATCAAAGGTGTGGCAGAATCACCTCTTGATAATTTACTTTTACCGGAGTGCATGTGTAGTATATTTTTTATTACCGATTTTTGCAGTATTCAATTATCTATTACATACGGTTTTATCAGCGATATAATACCATTGATACAACCGTAATTACATAATGTGTACATATACAGATAAGCAGCAAATTTTATACGCAGATACGTCGACTTTCTGAACCTACACTGCTATGATTTCAAGATGTGGACACCAGCCACTACTCAGATTGGGCATCACAGCCCATTATTCCCAAGTTTCAGGGAATCTGATAAGCCAGATGATCAAAAGCTGACTGTGGTATGCAAAATTTCGTTTTTAGCATACATTTTGTACATATGTACGCTCCACACCCAAGAATTTACTAGTGATACATAAATATTCATAAGATTCTGGTAAAATTAGCATCTTCTCTCAAACAGGCATATGCAGTCAACCATTTTCTCAAGATGGGAAATATAGCGGAAAAACTGGTTCTAGGTAAATAAATGTCTTTCAGAAAATTGAATTTGAAACAATGTACTTGAACATAATCGTTACGAAATCATTAAAATTTATATTTTTAAACGAGGCAATTCTTGGTAAGATTGTGATTTGGAGGGTATTTAATTTTCTAGAGGGTTAGACTACTTTTATCAGTGCAAAAATAACTCTGACCCTTAACGGAAAGTGTGTCTGCATAATAGAATTTATACAAACCTTTTATTTTCTAAGGAATCAGCGCACACGCGCGAACTTACGCGATTGGTGGTGATGACTATAGCGACTTTTATCATAACACCGCTGGTCCTGGCCCTGCGGGAAGTTATACTCGTCAGGAATCATTCTTAGCGTTTTTCGAGGTAATACAAATTATTGCGAGATATTAACAATCCACATGTCATACATGTTTCTCACTGATTTTCCTAACACCAGCACTACATAAAAATCAAGTGACTGAACAGAAACAAAAGCTACTAATCACTTGAGCATTTCTGCAAAATTACCCAATTTGAGGAGGTTTTAAATTGGCAAACATTTTCATTTTTACCATGAGAAACTATTCAGAGTCTATCTCACCAGCTTCGGATGGTGAGACTCAAATGTCACACCATCTTCAGGCTGTGAATTGGACAGATGTGCTCAAGTGATATGCATACTAACTTTTGCATGTGCTAAGTTACTTGATTTGTTTAGCGCTGGTATTAAAAAGATCCGAAAGAGAAATATCAAACATGCGCATTGTAAAATTGTGTTGACGAGCGACGTTAACAATTCCTAAGGTAAATACATGTGCGCCCAGATTAATTCTAATTTTTCATTCATTCACATTTATTCTAGATTTGCGACGAAATGAACAAGCACCCAGAGGGCTGGCAATTTAGATACGATCACGAATATAAAATTGCCATGGCTGTCGATGCCTTTGACGGAAACTATATGGTCTGGATTGGCTACGACAATGAAATCAGTGCAATAGAAAAGGTAAAATTGTCTGCTTGTTCGATACACGAAAATAACGTGCTAACGATTCGTTACGTTGTTGAGGCATGATAAATAACGGTGTACCATTTTTGTCATAATTCATCGTAAAATGGTAACCGTAATTGACAAGAAATTCAAAACTAATACACTCTAAAAAGTATGGCGTAAAGTAACACATTTTTATTTTGAAGAATTGTGTGCAACAAATTTTGAACCTTAATGGTAGTTATTGACACATAGCGACGATAGGGTAGCGATTTGTTAACAGTTCGGTGTTACTAAATATATTGTTTGCAATTAATAACTACTAATTTGGCTTTAAACATTACAAATTCGCAAGTTTCGCATCGCTGGATAATTGTGGCGAAAATATTGCGAACTACATACTTTCCAAGCCATTGTTTGCGAACTTAGGACCATTGTTTTTTGCCAACGTTAATAGCGATGCGTACTCATCGTGAATACCAACATTTTTAACAAAGATGTAATATTGATCAGTTACAATTTCAGAATTCATAAAGTGTTTGTGACAATGTACAGGGTGGTTTAGATAAATGTCACGCCACAATGAAAATTTTTGCGAGAGGAAAAGTCAATAAATCTCATTTAGTTGCGAAGATTTGGGATATATATAGATCTTTTATTCAAATCTAATATCAAAATGGGTGACACAATTCTTAAAATGTTGAATTTCATAGGCACAATTTTGGTAACTAATGGAAATTAACGAATTTTTTAAGCTGACAAATTTTTCATTGTAGGGAGACATTTAAACCACCCTGCATACTACCTCGTATAAGTTTTTCCATCAAATCAGAATGTATGATTTAAATTTTTTATTTTTATTCCGAACTCATATTTTGATAATTTGGTAGGTTGACTTCGCCATGTCGAACGGTCTTGGAGGAATGATGATTGATTCCTTGGATTTGGATGATTACAACAATTTTTGCAAGGGATGGGTTCGCTACCCTTTAACGGCAGCAATTAAAGAACGACTTGGTTATTGGGAAGCAAAATATTAATCATTTCGTCCGAGATGACCAATTTAAATTAAATGTACTTTCTATAATGCTTATGCGTGTATGCAAATTCAATCCTGTCGATAAATAAAACTCTTACAATCCTCTCGTAAAAATAACGTAATAATTGCACTTAAAAGGTAAAATCCTAAACTTGGGTATTCCGCTCCAGAGCAATTTTATTTTTGTAAAAAAAATTTCCCGCCGACTCCCCAAAACTTTTGCCAAGCACATTGCCTGGGGACTGGATAATAGTTCTAAAATGAATGCACTCCACTTTTCCAGTGAGAGGGAACAATGGGAATGACGATTAACGTGGGGCAAAGTGAGACTATTAAAAATCGATACCCTGCAAGAGACACAAATCGTCGGACTAATTCTAAAACCACGTATGTGCAGTCTCATCTTAATTCTAAAACCACGTAAGTGCACTCGCTTCGTAATTCTAAAACCACCTAAGTGGAGTCAATGTTTAATTCTAAAACCACGTAAGTGCAAAGAAACAAGGAAAATAACCTAACTGCAATTCCAAAATAATATTCAGTTAATTATTTATGCAAGATCATACTATGAACTTGAATATGAAAATTAACTGCTATTATTTTGGAATTGCAGTTAGGTTATTTTCCTTGTTTTTTTGCACTTACGTGGTTTTAGAATTAAACATTGACTGCACTTAGGTGGTTTTAGAATTAAACATTGACCGCACTTAGGTGGTTTTAGAATTACGAAGCGAGTAGTACACTAACGTGGTTTTAGAAATAAGATGAGACTGCACTTACGTGGTTTTAGAATTAGTCCAACGAAATGCGGAACAGCTTTCTACTATTTACATAGGTTCGTGCCACAGCCAGAATGTGGACGACGATCAGTGCGCATATCGTCGAGATGTGGTAAAATCTATGGATGCGGGCCCCAATGTACGTACTGGACAGAGCGGGGTGTCATTAAATTCGAAGTAGAATTTCCGAAATTTTATAGATAAAATTATGCAGATCTGCATAATTCTTCTAATAAATATTGATATGTATATCCATTTTTGTTCATATATTTATTTCATTACCAAAAATACAAAAATGAATTCATCGAAAGAGGATCAATCTAAAAATCAAATCTTGAATAAAAAACACACGATACAACTTTTATATGTGACAACTTGCTGTGGAAAAATTAAACAAAAAAAAACTTGTTTACTTATGCAACACGACGATTCACATATTTTTCTAGAGTATGCCGTCCGAAATGTTTCGCCAAATCGGGAAAGATTGCAAACGCCTTGGAACAGAAATCGCAGTGCTTATAATTCGCGATATTGTGACGCTTCACATGATTGGCTAAGTAAGCCTTTGAGTGGCTTTTGTATTCGCATTTTTTACAGGAATGAATCTTCTCTTCGTCCACGGGGTGTTTGTTCTCCACGTGACGCTTCAGATACGATTGTAGTGCAAACCTTTTGCCACAAACTGCGCAACGATAATCCCTCTGATTTCCATGACTACTCACGATGTGTCTCTTCCACCCGGCTTTTGTAACGAATGTGGTGGGACAAATGCCGCAGTGGAAAATCTTTCGCCTAGATTTTTCAAGGTGTGTCTCCTATTAAATGAATAATCGTTAGTTAAAGTTTTTGACGGAGTACACAATGTGGATTTCGAGTTCAAATTTTTCTCAACTTTGCCTTCTTCCGTGTTTTTCGAACAGCGATTATGAAACCTATTCATCGCCGTACGTTATTAACAAAATGAAGATTTCATTGCTCCAAAAAACGATATTTTTTAGGTTTTCAAAGTTCGGAGGTTAGAATTTTGATTTTTCTCTTACATGAGAAAATAAATATACAATGGATAAAAAATAATAAGTACAAATTAAATATACAATGGATAAAAAATAATAAGGAAAAATTAAATAAACAAGTAAAAATTAAATAAATAAGTATGATCTCATGAAGAAAAATAACAAAATTCTACCCTCCTAACTTTTTAAACTTAAAAATTATCGATTTTTAGTTGCAATAAGCTATTCACTTTTGCGTAACGCATACCGATGGACTTTCTTATACGCCATTGGAATACATACATGGAAGAAGGGAAAGTTGAGACACAAAAATTCACACACCAAACTTGATACAATGTAACTTTAAAAAATTTACCTCATGAATTTTCAAGTGTTCTCCTCTTGCAAAACATCTCCCGCACGTGGCACATTTGTACGGTTTCTCCGTTGTGTGATATGAAATGTGCTTTTCCAAGCATCCCCTCGTTTTAAATTCTCTTCCACAAAGTTTACACCGAAGTCGGACCGGGTTTTGGGCATGTTCACCTCTTACATGATTTGACAAAGAGTTCTGGCTCGAGTAGGTTTTTGTACAGCGGGGAAACGTGCATCGCACCCGAGGTCGTGCCGCCGTGGTGTGGGCGGCGTTCATATGTCCGCGCAAAGTGGCGGATGAGAAAAACACTCGGCGACAAATTTGGCAAGTGGGTAGCTTCCGGTTGGTGTGATAATTTCGGATGTGGTTAGATAAAGACTGCGGACTTTTTAAATTGTTACCGCAAACCTAGGACAAAAGTGGATAAAATTGTGGGTGGTTAAAATTTGTTACAATTAAATATTTTTCTCTTAAATTTATCTAAAAGCTCACCTTGCACTTCATCTTTGCGTCGGGGTGCTGCGTGGCAAAATGAGTCTGCAAATGATCCCGAGTGTTGCACATTTTTGAACACTGAGGGCACTGCCAATTCTTTTTTGGCATGGTAATTGTTTTAATTTTTATGCAGAGAACACTCATGTACATAAATACGCCGGTTCTAAATATGTATGTAATTATACACCGAGTCTTCGAAGAAGAAATATTATGAGTAGGATTTGCTTCCGAATATAGTTAATTTTGGAAATTATGTTCACCAAACTTATGTAAACAGTTTGAAATTTTATTCAATAAGTGCACTTTCTGGGTTCGGAAATCATATTTACTTATATATTTTGTCGCGTTATGATTTTTCTCTAAAATAAGTTACAAGTACGATATATTTATTGATGCCTTCAAGAGAACTGTATGCATGCTGTCCAATGGAAGGATAAAAAATATCTAGCGTTTTATCATGGCGAACTAATCCACCGCAGCCTCAATCTTACATAGAATTGAAGCTGCCCGACTTTCACGGCTAGAAACCCCAGAGTGCATGGCATGCATTCGTATTCATACATATGTATGCATGTACATATGTATGTATTTAGAACATACGTATTAACGGCGTGTATTAGCTGAAACGTAAATTCCTATGGACAAAATTGTTGCAGATCCCTCAATTTGGGATTATATTTATCGACTGGTAAAGGGATAAAGTTGGCGAGTACTCGAGTGTAAAGTATGTTGGAGAAGGCCTTTACACGGTCTATGAATATTTGAGAAAAAAGGTCTATAGTTTATTTTTAGAAAATGGAAAAAGATAAAAAGCAGAAAAGGAAAATTCCTCCAGCTATAATTTTAGTTCATTCATTATAGCAATGAACATTAAGGGTAACTTGTGTGGTGTGCATACATTGGTATAATTCATGTTAACCCTTTGACCAAAATACCATTTGGCATAAGTAATGAGTAGTCCATACATACATATATTCAATTCGTAACGTTGTTTTTTTTTGTCTGGCAATACTTATCACTCGCATGCCTGGTGGCCGTCAGTCAATAAGGCGACAGTTTTAGCGTCATTTTGCCTTTCTCGCTTAATTTGAAGACTACTTTGGCAGTGAAACATGTAAACCTCAAAGAATCCAAGGCAAGAATTAAACTGGCGCAAATTAGCTTAGACCTAATTAGGCATACAATTAACATACGTTGGATTGCATAATTAAACTAAAAACAGGTATGTAAAAACTAACGAGTTACGAATTAATTACAAATACAAATTAATATACAATATGACCACAAGATTTACTTCCCATCAGATACTATGTACGTATTTCTATTTCGCATAGGATTCTTATGAGTACGTAATACTTTTAAAATTTCGCATCACAGATGTAGCTACCAGCAAAAACGAGATGGAGATGCCCCACGTGCTTAATGATCTGTAAAACCAAGCAAGTCTTTATCCCAATGCCAAAGTGAAATGTGAAGTGAGTAATCAGACTTGAAATTCATTTTGCTAATCGAGTTAAAATTAATTACATATGAATCCTCAAATTTTACCAGATTTGTGGAAAAATTTCAAAAAATCATATCGCCTTTTCTGCCCATATGAAAAGACTTCACACCACCCGGGAGCGACCCAGTTGCGAACTTTGTCACCGGGTATTTTTCGACGCTACCACCTTAAGGAATCATATTAACACGGTGCACCACAAGACTGAGCGTCCTCCTCGTCGTCGTCTGCCATGTCCGTTTATCGACTGCAAAAGTACCTTCACAGGAAAAGGGAGTATTACTTGTCACGTAAAACGAGAACATGCCCAGAACCCGGTCCGATTTCGGTGCACTTTGTGCGGAAAAGATACTAAAACGATGGCCGACCTGGGGTTCCACATTAACACGCACACGACCGAGAAACCACACAAGTGTGCCACGTGTGGGCAGGGTTTCGCACGAAAAGGGCATTTGAAATCTCACAAGGTAAATATTTTGTGAAAAAAAAATCCGTGAAAAAATCAGAATTACTTGATTAACCAAATTAAAATGAATTTTGCAGGCTACACATTTCGAAAAAGTTTTAAGACCGACATTGCAATGCCAACTTTGTCCACAGACATTTTTAACTCCAACAGGTTTGCAGCGGCACGTGGAGGTTCGTCACGAAAATAAGAGGAGATTTCCTTGCAACTTTTGTGACCAGAGGTTCATCACGTCATCGCATTTAAAACGTCACGTCGAGGCGAGACATCCCACGAGCCAGGTTGCGATTTATTCTTGCGACAAATGTGACTACAAAAGTCATTCGATGGGCAACTTATCCAGTCACGAGGGACGTCACAATATCGCGAATAGACGGTCATGCTACTTTTGTGGGAAGCAGTTTGTCATGTTTTCTGCATTGGTCAGGCATTTAAGTCAAGTTCATACTCTAGAAAAATAAAAGGTGGAATTTTTTATAATTTCCAGAGCAATTTTAATGTAATAATTTTGTAATTATTTAATTATTAATGCATGTATTGTATTGAGCAATTTGGTCTGTTTAAAATTATTGAAATGATCCTCTATCCGTAAATATGAGCTTCGAATCGTTCAAAAATAATTTTTTGACGTGTTGTCAATTTGGGTAAAATATAGATAGAAAATTAGTAAATAAATAATTTGTGTCAGAAAGGCGACGTTATAGTCTTACAGAGGAAGCCTGAAGACATGTTTTCAGACTAGGCAGCTTAATAAATAAAAATCTCAGTAAACGGTTGTGTCACATTGTCACATAAATCTCGCCTGCACCCTTAGCAAAATTGTATTGAATTATTACCGACCGCATTTATTCGTACATACATAATTCTGATATTTATTCCCTTTTTACGTATTTATGAAAGAATATAAATGTGAATTTAAGTATTAACTTAAAAATCAAAGCAAACCGAAAAAAATGAACGCACAATATCACCACATATTTTCCACCAAGGTATTTCAAAAAAAATATTCAACCCCACAATCTAACAGACTCACTTACTTACTTTTGACTTTTACATTTCTAGAGTATGTCGTCGAAAGTGGTTCACCAATTCGGAATAGCGTGGAAATTTCTTCTGACAGAAGTAGCACTCTGGACCATTCGCAATATCGTGACGTCTCACATGTTCAGCTAAGTTAGCCTTCACGTGGCTTTTGTATTCACACTGGGCACAGGCATGAATCTTGTCCTTATTCACGGCGTGTCTCGCCTTCACGTGCCGTTTCAAATTTGATGGTAGTCCAAATTTCCTGTCGCAAACGGGGCAACGATAATTCTTCTGATCTTCATGACAAGTCTCGATATGATTTTGCAAGTTGGGTTTTGCAACGAACGTTTCGGGACAAATGTGGTAGTTGAAAATCTTCCGTGCAGATTTTTCAAGGTGTGTCGCCTGTAAAAATGAATATTGACTATGTAATAAATTTGTCTCGTTTTTAGCTAAGTACAAAATTATTTGCATTAATTTACATGTACGTATGTAAATATGTACCTCGTGAATTTTTAAGGTATACTCATGTGCGAATCGTTTCCCACATTTGGCGCAATTAAACGGCTTCTCCGTTATGTGTGTCGAAATATGTCGCTCAAGTACCATCCTGGCTTTAAATTCTTGTCCGCAAAGTTCGGACCGGGTTTTCGGCGTGTTCAGTTCTTACGTGACGTGACAAATTGATTTTACTTAAGTAGGTTTTTGTACAGCTAGGAAACGCGCATGGCACCTTTGGTCGTGCGTTCGTGGTATGGACGATGTCGATATGCCCCCGCAAGTAGGCGGATGAGGAAAACACCCGGTGACAAATGTCGCAGCCGGGTCGTTTCCGGTTGGTGTGGAGCAGTCTCATGTGGTCAGATAAAACGATCCGATTCTTGGACATCTTCCCGCAAATCTAGTTAAGAAAGAGGAGGTGGTTAAAATTAATTAAATCGTTTGCAATTAAGAAGTTAATTGGACGCTCACCTTGCATTTCACTTTCGCGTTGGGGTCGTGCGTGACATGAGCGTTCAAATCACTTTTAGTGCCGCAGAGTTTTGAACACTGAGGGCATTTCCGCTTACTTCCGGGCATTGTATATATCGATTCGAATTATTTTGGAGGAAACAATTTTGTTACTGATGTTGAGTGGGATTCTGGCCCGGACAAAAAGTCCTGTTTTGATGTGAATCGAGCGTGCACGCGCTCTTCCCTACTTTTGCACGGAGTCATGTGAAATTTTAAACTTTGTCCTAGAGATGCGAAATTTGGCATGCACATGCACCAACATATGCTGCATCATAATATAACATCAATTCCCGTTCCATTCGCTATAAATTTTTCAGGAAAAATCAAAAACCAAGTGTTATCCGCATTACATGTGGTTTTTGGTTTTTCCTGAAAAATTTATAGCGAACGGAACGGGAATTGATGTTAGATTATGATGCAGCATATGTTGGTGCATGTGCATGCCAAATTTCACATCTCTAGGACAAAGTTTAAAATTTCACCTGAATCAGTGCAAAAGTAGGGAAGAGCGCGTGCACGCTCGATTCACATCAAAAGAGGACTTTTTGTCAGGGCCAGAATCCTACTCAACATCAGTACGTTGATTTTAAATGATATTCAGCCACCGGGTTCTCGAAATCTTGGGTAGGATTAGTCATTGAAAATAGTTAATTTTGCAAATTATATTAACCGAATTGAAAAATATAGTTAAAGTGAAATTTAACTCAATTCAATTCGTGAACTGCTTGGTTTGATAAAATATGTTTACTGCGCTTACATATTTATTGATCCTCTTTAAGGGAAGTGTGGATGCTGCTTTGAAGAATAAAAAGAGAGTTATTAAATGTAAAATAAAGACCTTCATTACGATCACAAAAATTCAGACCTTAATTTAATCTTACAATTAGTGCTAAAAATATGATGTAGATACCTGAAAAACGTGTTCGAGAACTAACGTATAGTTGCAAGAAAGCTTAAGGTGACGGTAAAGGCAGACGGAGGAATATGCAAGTTCAGTAAATTATTGATTATCTGGTATCCTGTAGCCAATGAAAAACTTAAATAAATACTTCTTGTTGTGTGCTATGTAGAAAGTGGAAATACAAATAAATAAATGAGCAGCTATTAAGCACACGTTTCAATGCTTTACTTATGCAGAAGTGTGCTTAATTATATTTCCTAGACCATATTAGCGATTGAAAAATGGGAGCAAAAAATGATGACAAATATTTGTAAGTGTACATCAAAGATTTGTATTATTTAAACCATGTCCTATATAACTTTCCAGCATGGGCGTATTATCTTTCATTCTATACATACATACATACCTACTACTGCCATATACTATGTCTCACGCATTCCGCTCACAAAAAACATCAGTAGCAGTTACGTTAGCCAGTTGTACTATTTTTTATTGAATTCCCCATGCAATTGTCTGTCAGAAACCATGTTCCGAAATTTTTTGTGATACAATTTGCTAAAATGACAGATCGGACAAATCGACGTGTTGCAATTTTTCAGAAACATTTTGGTAACCATAAAAATCCGGCATTTTTCAATAGCTCATTAAAAATCGGCACTAATCGCAAGATGGTCGACCGTACCATAAAATGATACACTAACATTGGCGGTGTTGATAACCGAAAACCGAGTTGAAGGGAACGCTTAAAAAGGTCACAAAAAATCCCGAAGGCGCGCAAAACCTGAATTCGGCCGAATTCATGCCGCACCCTAAGAAAAATTTCCCTACAAATGAACGGGCTAAGTCAAACTACGTCCCAGTCCCCTAAACTCGACCTTGGACTTATGTCTTTAAGATGTGAAGAGAAACGCTTGCTAACTTTATGCCAAGTAAAAATAGAACTCTCAAAAGCCGAGCACTGCTCATGCGGTACGCGCTTGAAAATTGGAAATAAGTATTTTTAAAAGATAAGTAAACTTTGACAATTGAGGCCATATAAAATAAGCAAAAGCGCTGTGTCCACACCACACCAGTCCATATTATTCGTAAAATTTTTAAAAATAGTAATCGGGCCCACCATCCAGATTCTGTGATTTTTTTATTCGGAGTAGATTGGATTTGATCATAAAAGTGAATTTTCTTCTTCTGGGGGTGAAATTTCTTGTCAAAAAATATTTTTTGAAGTCATCGAGTGAATAGGAGAACCACTTGACCACACCCTGTTAAAAAATAGCGACTGGACATTCAAGCAGGGCTCAGGACCTTCTGATAAGGCCAAACTCGTAAAAAGAGGGTAGAATTCCAAAATTTCTGACTCCATTTCGGATCAAGAACAAAATTCACTGTCGCCGAACCTCAAGCTTCTGGAATATGACATGTGGTCCAAACTGAAGCTAGATACATGTGCTAAACCCCACACAAGTTTGAAATCCGAGAAAAAATCTGTCGCTTAGAAATCAGACTAATATTCCTTGAAATGAGTGCGTACCGCAAGTGGGATTTTGATACCTAAACTTTTGGCTCTTGTAGCTTCGAAAGGAGGAAATTTGGAAAAGTGCCCAGTATATTTTGTAGGGAATTTAATGGGCTTTCTCGTGACATCGTTATTTTTTCAAAATTCGATAAACTGAGTCCACTACATTTATTTATGTAGTGGTCAAAACTTATGGCAGTACTAGGTATTTCATTCAACTGAATACACTTTGTATTTGCAATGTGACCTCCAAAATTTCATATCAAAGCAGAGAATAAATTTTGGAATTGCACGACGTGGAAATTTTTCCTGCCAGAGTTGATAACTTCATGAACGTCAAGATAAGCCATATAATGACGTGGGCATCTGTAAATGTATAACGTATGCATATACTACTCGCAAAATCGTATTGAATGATCAACCACCAGAGTGACTTCACCGGGACGCTAATTAAGAACATTACAGTGTAGTAATAAAAGTAAGGCATGTGTTAGAAGTAAATTAACACTACAAAATGAGACGCTAAATATAAAACCCGCTAATCCATAAAATTCAAATCTATGGAATTGGAAATACCAATGTTGATGTCCGAAGTCGCCAAAGTTTGAAAACGATCGGACTTCAATTAACAAAATGCTGAGGGGTGAAAGTCAGAACTCGCCAAGCGTGCTTTCACTGCCACAAAAATGAGGCTGAATGAAATACGAAAAAATTGCAGAACAAATTCACTGCTTGAAGGACTTCTAAATTCACAATCTACCGTAGTATTATAAGGTATAAGCAGGATGCTGAAGTAAGATTTAGGCACTCTAAATGTCACACCCCCATGATATCTTCCCCTAAAGAGGTATGTTGCGTTTGCATTATTTTCAACATGCAAGTTGCCATATTCCTTAGAAATTCTGGTCAATAGTTGGAAATCGATCCTTCTACCGTGTTCCATGTTGAAGCCCATCAACTAGGCTTCACCGCTGGCACAAAGAAAAAATTTTCTAATTATGTCAAGGATCATGAAAAATTAACAGAAACTGGTTTACAAAAAGTGCACAAAAAATGCTTGTAGAAATTGGTGGTCACTGGCGATGGAACCTAGGTCACATTTGATCCATCTCAATTTCCGGGAGGCAACTTTTTCAATGCAATAGGTCATAATGAAGTTGATCATGGAAATAAATTAAAGAAAATAGCAAGATCTCCTGAAACTGCTTCATTTTTCTACCCAAGGATGAGTTTGGGGATATTTTGGAACCCCACAAACCAAGAGTGTCTATGACCAGAAAATGTGATTCCGGGAGTTTGTAACAAAACGGTTATTACCCTTGACCAATAAGCATCAGAAAACATACGGTGTCTAATTTTGGCCCGACTTATCAACGCGGCATTACACCAAAATTGTGACCATATACTTGAAGGAGAAAAAAGTCAAACATGCTCCTAAAATAAAAAGCCGTAAAATGTCCCACAACCTCCTGGGTTTGGAAAGTTTTGGTCTTCCGGCAACAATAGTCTTCCCGAGGTCAGGTGTCCAAAAATTTGCACGGTTTCAAACTAGTTTCAACAAAATTTTGCAATCTGTGGCAGAGAAAGCGGGAAAAGAGCGTATTTCTTTTGCGACCAAAATAATATGCTCAATCGGATACGAATTCGTCCGATAAGTAATGAGTGGCATTACGAACTGTTAGAAGCATTTCGGATTCAGGATAAATTTTGCATTTTTACTTGTATCGAGTAATTTTAATACTAGACGATTTTTAAAAGTGTTAATTCACTTCTGCCACATGCTATATACATACCATCAACCATTGTGGTAATGAAAATTTCACTCGCACGCAAACTATCACCATTCTGTGGAGATGTTAAATCAATACCATCACGCATTGCATGTGTACATATGTGATTTCACCACATCACATTTTTAAGAGTTTACATACATATGTATTTACATGCTTAACCAAGATGAATATAAAAATAATACAAATTTTGCATATTTGTGTATTTGTGCAGTTAAATTTTCTCGAAAAGTTTTATTGTCAGCTTTTCAAAATGTTATTAGTATCGGGCCAATTAAACATTATAAAAGTATATGAATAGTGTTAGAATAATGCTTAATAAAATTGTGAAAATGAATATACTAGCTTGAAATTTAGAAAACTACATATTTTCAATTTTTACAGAACAGAACAAGGCATAAATATAATGATTTTTTCAGCAAACCATTGCGACCAACATGTCTGAATTTCAGATACAACACCTTTGACCACTGCGGCATCCCGAGTCCCAAAAAACACTTCGCCAGCCCGACGGACACGATCCCCAGACGCACCTGCTCCCACGAGAACCTCCTTGAGCCCGACAAGACAACGCGTCTGCAAAACAATTACACTCTTAGAAATTCAGTATTAAATTAATACCAAGCGGTATTCAGATATGTCTCTACCAAATTGGTATATACAAGTAATAATAGCTCGATATTTAAGTTTTAGCAAACTTTTACGGACCGGTATAATGCAGTAGCAAATTTTTGTACCGAGAAATCAACACCCGCCAGACTATACCAGATTTGGCAAAAAAATCGAAAAATCTGAAATACCTGCACACCCAGCCGCCAACAAGACCATGGCCAGGCACGCCAACAACATGAAAACTCTAGTCTTTCCCATTATTCTTTAAAATTTTCAGAATTCTGCTTCCCTGAAGATTTAGCGAAAAAAAATACGTAAGCAATTTTGGTAAATGTATGTATTGGAACCGGTGGTTTGCGATGTATTCTTGTTGATTGCAACTTTGCTCATCATTTTATACCTATCTAATTTATGCGTGATTTTCCAACTAACATCTGGTGTATTTATCAATTGTCAATCGAATTCACAGAAATTATCTAACTTATTTGTTATGGTTGCATGCTATTTGCCAATTTCAATAAATTTTTAAATAAACAGCTTCCCATGGTGCATGAATAGGACAGGCTTCCTCAGCAAATTTGAGTCCAATATCTAACAGTACGTCTATAAAATACCTCATTTAAAATTCTCGCAGGTAAGCAGACAATGGATTGTAAAACTACTTCTCATTTTTTTTAGTTAAATAATGTATACTAGAAAAAACAATGCATGTGTTTCGCAGATGCGTATATATGCTTGGTAAAAACATGTTTTTAACTTTGAGTTATGACATACATACACATGTACACGTGTAACTCGACCATGTGCATATAACATTTATTTACGGAGTTCTGAATTGTGGGGAATTTCAGGGAATTTTTTTTACTTGCTTCCGTCCTCATATTAATGCCAACAAGTCAAATTATGTTGCAATGTGTTTATCGAAATGGTCATGCTAATTTCCATGTAAATGTTTGTAAATGCTTAGACAGTCCGGAATGTTTGTTAATACATGGTACTAAATTAATTTTTTATTTACCTACGTACACGTGTTTTCTAATTACAGGGGATACGTTATTAATTTTCGCTGAAATGTGTCATGTTGTTTTTGCATACAAGTTACATATGTATGTACATATTACGCATTTTCAAATTGTCATTGCCTAATTACGATGTAGGTCCAGTTGGGATTTAGGAAAACTATGTTGGACTTTGTTTGAATCAAGGTATGTGTAGATCTATGTACATAATTCAATTTTATCCCATTTATAAATGTGATGAAATACTTAAATGTATTTAGGCATTTATGTGGTTTTTCGATACAAAATTGCCAAGCATGAAAATATCAGGCGAATACCTACATATTCAATAACCAATCCAACCTTAGATGTTTTATGTATATTGCAAGTAATTTGATTGAGACGTATACTAAGAAATTGCCGAGTGATAGGGAAATTGAATCCTGTTTTCAAAGGAAGTTAATAAAATAAATGTTTCTTCGGTAGTAAATAATCAATATCATAAATTGAATTCTGTGTTCAGAAAGAATGTGAAATATGCATCAGTTTAGTAAAATTGGGAAGGCATTAGTCAAGCTAATTTATGCGAGACGGTCGGGAAGACATTCCGGCCTTAAAATATAAATGTAGGTGAAGAAAATATACATGTTTATACATGTTAAAATTTAGATTACCTCTTACGTACTGTGTAAGTTTCTCATTTTTATGCCCTTCTTATTGACTTTTCAGAGGGTAAAATACCTGGACACCAAACTATTTTTACTGTGGTATCCCTTTCACCACTTTGTCACGTCCGGTAGTTCTGTAAATCAAGTAATTGAAAAATATTGGATAAATTATTCAACCACTAAATCAATTTTCATACCTATGTATGACGACTCCTATTTTACCCAGTGATTGAAGGACATTGAAATTTGACTCTGCTGCGTATTTCCTAATCATATACCTATTCGTGAATAAGGCACAAATTGCGCAATGCTGCTTGTCAAAAAACTAGCTCCTTCGAGCGCATTTCGCCTAAGTTTCAACAATTATATAACAAAATATCGTCATCCGTGACACAAATGACCATCGGGTTCGGAACAGCTGCATATTCAATCGTCGCTGCGGTAAAGCTTGCTTCGAAAAGCAAACTGAAATTACGATTGTTCCGCTGGACGAAGAAGATTATGGATCAGCATTATGGAATGGCGCTTCTCGTACAAAACCTGTACGTTGACAGGTACCCGCTTTTGTATAAGCCTCCAATTTTTATCCGCGAGTGGAAAGGGAGGCTACATCTGGTAGGAGTGAAGCGACCCTTGGATTGGATCCAGACAAGGTTCCCCCTCTTTATTCTACTTTGCATTTTGGTGGCTTGTGCGTGGGCGATTTCCATTGTGGCACCATCCTCCCCAAGACCTGCGATGGACGTGAGAATCTGGGCATGGTGGTTTGTCATCGTGCTTGCCATTTGTGGGTCAGAGGTGTATTACTTATGGCTCGTGAAAGGAAGGGAGACATCCGTTTTCTGGGGGAATGAGATGCTACAGTTAGAGATGGATCTGAAAAGAGGTACACATAACATGTATTTGAAATTTTAATTAACAGTAGATTAAATTAATAAATAGTTTAATTTCCAAAGCCACGCACTTGAATTGACCATAGGGGTTAGATCCTATATATTTAATTCCTTCCATCAAGTTCGAACCATCGCACAGTGGTCCGGAATATTGAATTTCTTGGCCAAAACCTATTCTCACCGATTCGAAAACAAGGTACCGTCTTCAGTAGGGATGCACCGAGTACTCGGCCAGGCCAAGTACTCGGCCGACTCGGCGTGTATTTTTACTACTCGGACTCGGCCGGGTATTGTCGCTCCACTCGGCCGAGTATTTTCTCAATTTTTTTGGCCATTTTTTAACAAATTATCTTGTCCATGAAACTGATTTCATGAAGTTTTCTTGCATTTTGGGTTTTGCAAAATATACTTCGTAACATGTTTGCGTATTTTAAGTCAAAATTAATCAGTGACGACGAAATTAACGAGTTGTTTTTGGACTGTGCCAGCAATGGATATCACCAAACGTATGCTCGTGGATTCTGACCAAATTAATTTCAATTGATCACAGATTTATGTGGTTAATATATCACAATTTCATAAGTCAATATCTCCTAATGCAAATATCTATCCATTATTTGTAGATATTTGATAAATATTTGTATCCCAATAGGAAAAAACGTGCAGTGAATTTAGAAAGTGTAAAATTTATTAACTTTAGGACACGTTTTCACCTCTTTGTATGCAAATTTCTCCGCCAAACCTGTCTACATAATTGTAGCGACACTAGTATCGTCAAAATTAGGTAGATTACGCTGGGAGATATTCATTGTTATTAAATTTTGCCCAATTTTTATGAATTACTCGGTACTCGGTGCTTTGACATAGATGCTCAATTTTGGAAAATTTCATTTGAATTGTTCGAGTGGTTATAGCGTGGCGTATGTCTAAACTTGCCTTATAACATTGGGCTAAATGGGAATAACTTCAAGTTGAAAATCCTGTCTATTCCTGTGCTGTTCTGGGGAACCGTGAATGTATTATTAATCCCTCATATCTCATCTACATAAACTGCTGCCATCAGCTGCCACCATTACAAATAGCCAGAGAGACTTGAATTTATGTAATTGCAAATTGCCATAAACAAAATATCTGGAGTGCTGCAATCATTGGCACGTATGAAATTTTCGAGTGTTCCAAATAACACAATCGCTTCAAAATATCTTGCTCACTCCTTGGGGAAAGAAAAATGATAAAACAAACCCCTCTAAAAAATTCATTTCGAGTGGGGAATTTTAGGAATTGGTGACCCCCTGAGGAGGCATCACTAAATTTGTAATTGTGGTCCTATTTTCTTTGTTAATTAAGTTAGAGGGCAGAAATACTTAATAAAACTATAGAATATTGTCATTCCATGAAAATACATCTTCAAAATTATCGAAACAAAACTTTCAAATTCAGATTTTGACCACACCCCCTGGCTGTGGGTGTGCCGGTAATGTCCCAATAATGGTCGAGGTTGTTTAGAGCTTGAGTAGTCCTTTCAAATGACACCCCACTTGATGGGGTAATGCGAGAAAATAAATATTGACCTGTGACCACACCCCCAAGAGGGCGTGGTGGTCATGAAAAGTTGCATTACTTATGCCTCATGGAACTTCATCTCGATTCCCGAAGGCAGAATTCGAAAAAATGGAATGGTTGGGGAACTAGAGGTTTTGGCAAACAAATAAAGCAATCCGGACCACTTTGCATCGGCGGGTGGTAGTAATTTTGCCATCTTGATGAATTTAATTTAAGGATAATTAATTAATGCTCAATTACGTCTTCATAAATGATTATGCTTGATGAAGCTGGTTTATGATCTCTTCACGAATGTTAACTGTCATTTCTCTCCTTAGCCACTCAAGAATGTCGCCACGCCCATATAAACATTCACACCCCGCTAGACGCATTCATCCTTTTTGGTCTAAAAGTATTCGTTTGGATTGGTTATCTCTTCACACCAGTTGGGACCTTCATCTGCATGATTCTCGGATTCGATCCTCAATCCTACGTCCTATCTTATCTGATGACCTCGTGGCCCATGATTTCTATTCTTCTGCGTACCTTGACCTTCCATAGTGAACCACTTCTTACGGTGGTTATCTTGTCTGGCCGATTTGTCACCATGACAGTAGCGCTTTATGAGGGTGAACGTCTCTTGATTATAGTATTGGGATCAATTTACATAATTATTTACACAGCGGCCACTGTCGTCGGGCTGCTTGGGAAACTTGTCATAATCAATAGACGGCGAATACAAATTGGCCTATTTCATCGGCACATTCGGGTTTACACTATGCTGATCTTAGCCGTTCATGCAGTAGAAGATATTGTAAATATGACCTTGTCAATTGTGATACTGGCGACGACGGTAGTTCTGGTGACGATAACGTTCGTTTCAGTTCGCCTGGGACATCTTCTACCCGGGTATCTAGTTCTTATCATAGTTTCAGCGGGGATTTTTGGATTCCTCTTAGCAAAAACACTGCTAACCAAGACAGCCTCGATATTCAAAAACGTGGTCGAGTTACTCGAGGCGTTTAAAGGGGTAGAGATCGTGGGAGGGATGCGACGAGGTGTCAGACTTGGCTATCTCAGGGATGTTAGACGTTTTGACGTGCTAAAAATCCCAATCGGCGTAGGAAGCACTGTATTTACGACGGTGGACAAAAATACGAATGTTCGATTGTCTCGATTGTTTGTGGAGGTTAGTGTGAATGCCCTTATATTGTTTTAAGTTAAAGCTCAAGAGTACGCAATTTTTAGCCTCAGCAGTCAGAAACAACCCCGCGTCTG